GATCGAAAACCCGACAACTTAGTTAAAGCAAATTGTTTGTCTTCCTTCTCACGTTGCATCTGCGAATCTGGAGGGACGAGCTGTGTTTTCAACGTCAACAGTTGAAAAACGGAAAACACGAAGCTCCGTTATTCCGTTTCCGTTCTTCTCGAGGCAAAAACTTCCACCGATGCAACGGGGACGAGCAATGTTCTTACTTCTTTCGCAGTTTACCTGCTGTGATTGGACGTTAGGTGAAATTTATCGTTTATTTTACAACGAATAATCTTGGAAATAACGCTTGGTCGAGCATTGATTGCAATCTCTCGTCTTAAGCTTCTCAGCTATCGTGTTTCACTTGTAATAATTGAAGATTGTGAGAAGATGCTAGTGGATGCAATAAGATAAATTTGTCTGTCTCTTTAGTCTCGTAGTTTCTTGGTTCAAAGTTATAGATTAATGTTATAGCTTACCATATCTGTTGATGTTTGACTATCCATCAAATTTAATTAGAGAAAATAACATTTAAATAATATATACTATGTAAATGAAAACTTAAAATATATTTGATTATTTTTTAAACCAATAATTTTTCAAATTATGTAGTTTCATACTTTTTATTTATAGAAAATTCCAAATTGAAACAAACTTGATTTTTATAAATTCTTTATTATGCATCAAAAAATTAATAACATCAAAATGTATCATTTCAAAACCATTTAAATTGTTTAAATCATCTTTTACTATTTATATCTTGTATATTTTTCATTAATTATTAATAATAAAAAAATAAGTATATTTATATAGAATATATTTTACGTGCATTTTTATATTTCTATATGTCATATATATATATTATATACTATGTACATACGTTTTTCTACTATAAAAGAAAAATTAAATTTTCTGCTATTTAATATGTATTTAAAAGAAGAAAAAAAAAAACGTTTCAAGTTGAAATTTTCCATTAAAAAACAATTGGTGTCACGTCATCCAATGATTTTTGTTGGTCGTTCAAGTGAAATATTATTTTCCTCGACGAAATATCAGAAGAAATTTCCCTTCGTCGAGGACGTGATACATTTTCGTGAGAGATACTTCCACATATTGAAATGCGCTTTGAGCTGGGATCCTGTACGAAACCTCGTACGAAAATAAGCTAGAACAAAGTAAACCTTTCTCTGTTCTTGCTTCTTCCATCGTTTCATTTTCTCTTCTTATTTCGTTCATGATCTCCGGTTTGCATCCTCGAAGTAGGTTGATATGCTACGTATAATCAGCAAACTTCCGTTTTTGAAAAGACTAGTTGTCATACTTGTATTTTCTGGAAAGAACAAAAAGGCTTCCTTGTTCATGTTTAATTGATAATTAATAAGAATTGAATTTTGAGCGAAGCTTCGAGGATCTCTTTTATAAAAATCCTATGTAAAGATCATCTGGATTTGACAATTTTTTGATAATAAGATAATTTGGATATTAATTCAATATAAATTATAATTTTAATTTTAATATTTTATTTCATTCGTGGATCATTAAAATTTTTTTTATAAGATTAAATAATAAATATTATTAGTTAAAAAGAATAATTGAAAATTATTTATTTACCGATGAATTATTTTATTATAGAATGTACGTAATGTGGCTGGATATTTCTGTGACCAACTGCATATAATTCTTTTATGAAATGAGAGAATGCAGTATGTGGTAGATATTTAGAGAAGACGATAGAGAATGAAATTTAGTGTTTCCAACTTTAGACAAGTACTTTAAATGTGGTATTTTCAAGAAATTTAATCTTGAATTATTATATTTTTTAATAAAATGAATGAATTTTAATTATTTTTTTAAATATGTAAATATGATATAAATATGATATTGATATAATTAATAATTTGATATTGTTAATTCAATATTGAAAGTTATATCAGTATAATATATATAATATAATAATAAGTATATACATAAATAAAATTATAAAATAATAAGAAATAAAATAAAAAAGCAATAATAATAAAATAATACTAAATGATTGTACAACAGCATAAAGCATGGGCATAAGTTTATGATGAAATATCCCGCATAAAGTTCAAAAGTACAAAAGTTGGTCCTTGAATTTGACCTAGTTTTCAAGTTATAACTGTTTTTATGTCTCTATGCAAACTACTCAGTGATCTTCTTTAAACGGAAAATATTCAACAGTAAATACAGTATATGACTTTCAACCTCAAATATTTCCATAATTTTAATTAATAAGTGAAAAATAATAATTTAAGAATTTTAATAAGTGAAAAAATAATAATCTTTTGAAAATAAAATTTCTAGTTTTTTATTATGTAATTTTATAGAATAGCGAATTTGGAATACAAAAGAAAAAATTCATATAAAATATGATTCATATAAAATAAAATTCATTTTTTAGATATTTGATATTGAATTTTTCATATGTTTGCATAAATAACGAACAAGTATATATATATTTGTTCTTTGAAATTTTCATAGTAAAAATCTTTTATGTCATTGATTAAAGAATATTAAATGTTTAACAACATCATTTACATTCAAAGAATTGTGCATAATTATATTTAGCTTAAGAGAAAAAAGATAATGTGAACTTTTTGTTCAAAAAAATGGAAAATCTTGTATATCAAATAGTACTATATTTTCATCATAAACTCTTAATAATCGAATAACACAATGATTAGACTTTCAAATTAGAATTTTAACTTTGAAAAAAATAAGAATAAGAAAAGAAATTTCCATATTACGTGATAAATGAACAATCTAATAGTAAATTGTGGAAAATAGAAACACGTGGATCGACAGTGGAATAACCAGCGAATAGCAAGAAAGGTAGACAGGATTTCCTGTAGATTAATGCCTCGTTGCATTCTAATTCATTATATAATATTACATCGAATTAGATGCAGAAACATAACTTTAATATGTTAAATTCCGATCAGCCTGATATGATTGCACTTTCACATCAGCCTCTAAACTTGTTCGCCATTATACAATTTCATATTACGTGTATCAAGGATTACGTGACTGGAATATCTTATGGGAAATTTCGTTTAATTTTACACCAAAAATGACGATGAAACAATTTAAGAATTTTAAATTTTATCATTAACAGAATTTAATTTAGAGATATTACATTTAAAAATTAGTTCAATAATTGCTAAATTGTAATTAACAAAGAATTATGATTAGAAAATTGCTTTATTATAACGTTCCAATATTTAAATGCATTTAACATGAATTATAGAATATTTAACAAAAGATATAATTTGGGATAAAATAACATTTAAAATTAGCGTTACTTTTATATATTAATAAATATTTTAATACAACATTTATATTTATATCGCTTCAGTGATATTTTTTCAACAATTTTTAGGTTAGGTATATCGAGACAGCGTCGTGCACAACTCATAAATAATCACGTATCAACTAGAATATACATCGAAACTCATCAAACGCGTTAATTACAACCGTTATACATATAAATTAGCTTCTATTGCCTCTTGAAATATTATGGATCATTTCAATCTTCTATAGTTGCACTCGCCATCATCGAAAAACGATCACAACGCGACAATTATCGATCGAATAATCAAAATACGTATAATGATTTTTAAACGAGGATTGTTAATAGCGATTCTTCCGTTGAACAGAAAATAAAACTGCGAAATTATTAATTGGGCGAACTTCAGGTCGATTTTAAACGTTCAGATTCGCACGGTTTGCTCTGAGTTGAAGTTTGTTTTAATGCATATTCGATGTCGAGACGAATAGCAAGAGGTCGTCACAGTCGTCGTTCTGGAGTGTAATGGCGATTCGTTCGGCTTGTTTACCAGCGCCGGAAACTGCAGTATTCTTGCATGCTTCCGTTGCTTTCAGTGTCTATGAAGCTACGTTCTTGTGAATCAACAATGAGTAACTTTTTGTCGATGTGTTATGTGTTTCTTGAAAAAGTTGTCGATTGCTTCTTCGTATTTCTGTTGACGGTAACAGAAATCAACAGTTATATGTTGCCTCAGTTCCGTTCCAAAACTGTGTATATGGGTATATACTAAACACAAGTATGCATTAATTTGACTAACTTCAACTAACTATCACAATGAAAAGATATATTCATTATTGTGAAACTAATTTAAAGTTTTGATTATGTTGCTTTAGTGTGAATAAAATGTTTTTAAATTGTTTGGAATGTGGAGAATATTTAGTTTGTGCAATATTGATCACTTTTGATATTCATGTGCATATTAAAATAAATAAAGTTTACAAATTATAAATTATTGTATTGATATAAAATTATAAAATCGTAAAAGAGAAATTTATATAATCCATAACATATAATTAATTTGTGAATTCAGATTTTCATATCCGAGATCTCCATTATGTCATTTATTTATATGAGAAATTATTATTTTTATGTGTCTTTTCTAAATCTCACATATTTATAAGTATCTAATATTTTCATTTATTATTTAAAATAAAAAAAATAATAAATTTAAATATAAAAAATTATTAAAAAATTTTGTTTAAAAAATATTATGTAAAATATTATTCTATTAATAATGAATATCATTTTGTGAAATATTAACGTATCAAATATTTTATTAACACGAAACAATACGAAACGCATTGTCCATTTGTTGCATCAAAATTTTAATAATGTAGATCATTTTAAATTTAAAAACTTCCAAAGAAATATAATATATTAATTAATCATATTTTATGAATAATAAAGAGAACGAAAGATTAATAATTAGAACAGCAATTGAAATAATGAAATAAAATAACGATAATTCACGCATTAATTGCATGAATTTTGATTCTATAATTTTTAATTATCTATAAGATACATATTCAAAATCTTTATAATATAATATAAAAATAGAAATTTGTTAATTTAAAAAATTTTTTAATTAATAAATTGAAAAAAAAATTGTATCTTAAATTAAATAAAAAATAAACATGTTGATTTAATATTATATTAAATGGATGATGATTTTTATCAATGTTTAAATTAGTTTAATTAAAAATGATAAATATGTTTTAAAGATAATATCTAATATAATAAATAATATATTCAATATCCCATTTTCGAAGAATCACATAAGAAATTTGCATTTTGCTATCATGGTGATATCATAACACGTTCGACAGTCTTAATTATCGTAGAATTCTCGCGACGCGATTATGCAACGAGAAGTGAAAGTCGCTCGATATTTGCGAACACGAGGCGCGGTGCACGCAAGAGATGTCGAGATTTCTCGCAGAAATTCGACCTCTTCGTCGTCCCTTCCCAACACGGCATGTTGGCGGAAATGAAACAAATTGGAATTTCGCCTGTATATCCGGAAGGAAGCATACTGCCTTTTCGGATTATTAAATGAGACACTGAAATGTTCCAGGTTCCAGGTATATCTTTCATATATTTGACTCATGCTTTAAAATTCTATATTCCAAGATATCTATATTTATTTTTAACTGATAAACATGAAAGAATATTTAATAAAATTTATTAATTTTGAAGCTATCTCGATTGGAGAATTTTCATTTTATTATTTTTCATAGTGTTTATTAAAAAATTAATGTTTTTTAGATATTTGATAAATAATATTAAAACATTAATATGTCATGTGTTACATTATATATTATTTTTGTAAATATTTTTAAATATTAATGAAATAAATTCGATGTCTTATCTAGATGTAAAATATAATAAAACATATTACTTATGACAATAATTTAACTCTAAATTAATTCATAGATTCAGCTTCAATCAGATATATCATTTGTCAATTATAACATACAAATATACTTTGAATCTATCATTTTTTGCACAATAAATATTTTAAATAAAAAATTATCTCTTTCTACGTTTCAATTTTCAAATAATAATTCTTACAATTTAATTATTTTTTATGTACTTAATTAATTTTTCAACAAGCATTTATAAATATTAAGGATATATATCAAAATATGGTAATAAAAATAATTGCAAATAATTAAATAATTGTAAATAATTTAATAATAATTAGATTGTGAATGTTTAAATATTTATAAAAAAAATATATAAAAATTAAAATAAATATATATAATGTATAATTCTTTAAACTATAATTATTTTCTAAACTTTGTTTTAGAAAAAAAAATAGTATTATCATGTCAAAGGTAACTTCAAAGTTCATTTTTTGCACTATATTACTAGAAAAAACAATTATTCTAAAGAAAAATATTGTCAGACATAATCTCATAATATGTGAAAAATATATTATCTATTAGGATATTTATAGAATTAATAAAATCTTTATGTAGATTTCATTTTTATAATTATAGTGAAAATATGAATTTGCATATATATCCGCAATCCAATCAAAAATTTTATATGATCTTATATAATTTTATATAATCTATACAATGTAAAAATTGTTTTCTGAATCCTCTAAACAATGTTATTCGAATAAAGTACACTACAAACATTACTTGTAGAATGTAATTCTCGAAAGAAAGAATTAGAGGAAGAATACATAAACGAAACGCATAGACGGAAATGAAACTAAATGAAGCTTCACCTGTGCAACACACATCTAAAAGGGAGCCTTTATAGCACTTACACGCGCTTAAATAACCTCTCTCTTCCTCGTTTTATTTCGTTTGGATACGAGCAAGTCCACGAGACTTATTCGTTGCGTTTCCCGGCACTTAAGAAGTTTATTGCTAGCCACCACGAGTCCAATACGCGATTGGGTGTTGGACAATAAAAACGAGCGTTCCCGCGAGCCACACGTTCCGGAAAACTTCTTTTCCCAACAGGGATGCGGCGATTTCGTTTTTTTCACGCCGTTGTATTTGCTTACGAGCTGCATCGCTTCTCACGAACTCTAGAGCACAGTTAGGCACTAACGAGTTGAAAAATTAATTGGTTAAAATTTCAAATAAAATTATTTCAAATAACATTAAAACTTTAAAATGTTCGAATAATATATTATTCTAGTAGCTATTGTAATTGACTTCGACATTATAATTAATTGTTGCGAATAATAAATTATTTGTTAAAGTAATTTTATTCTTAAAGTTAAAATTTAAAATTTTATCCATTTCTATCTAGTGGATTTCTATTTGCGCCTTTTCGCAGCACAATGAATCGTCTTTCATGTTGTACGTTTAACGTTTTTCTCGAGGGATGATTATTACCATCGCCAATCAGCTTGTATAGGAATTGAAATGAAGAAATAAATTTCATGTTGTAGTAATGTAAATATTAATGTTCTATTTTATTGAAACGTTGATATACGTGTCTTCATAAAGATGTGATAAGTGTTACAATTCTACAATGAAAAAAATATTTTATGATATGGATAATTATAATATCATCAATATTTTTTTAATCTCGTGAAAATTAATGTCTCGCAGAAAAATACTTTAGAATACTGGAGAATTATTGCTTCGATAATAGTTTTGCAATTTTTGAAAATATGAATTAAACAAGTAATAAAAAGATACAGTTTATTACAGTATATCTCTTAAATTTACTTCTGAATCTTCATAAATCTCTGCATGAAAATTGGTAAATGATAGTTAATATTTTATAGTACTGTAAATTGCTAGAATATTTAAAAAAAGAAAATATTTCAATATTTGTTCGCGTGACAACGAATCTGAATTATCTATGCTCCGTTTCTCATTCGTTGCTTCCATCCTTGGTGATTCGAGCATACTTTTAAAATAGCGCATCGAGCTATTAAACGAAGAGTAGCAATCGCTTTACGGTTAACGAAGTCGCGTTAACGAGCTCTTTCTCTTCTTTTTTTTTTTCTTTTTTTATTTGCATTGAATGATCGCGAAAATGAAATTCCTTTCTGCGACACGGAGCTCACGTTCATCTTTTTCCATTGTTACTGGTAAAAATATATTCTTACATAAATATTTCAATTATCACGCGTGCTTTCTTCCGTTATGCATCGAAAAATATTAGCATCCTGAAGAAATATTAGTTACGACTTTTATTACATATTTGTTTATAATAAAAATTTTTCTCTTAAAAATTTTCTTTA